TGTTAGACTCCCCTTCAAAACCACAACAAGTTGAAAACCAATTTTAAATTCTCCTTTATCCCTGCAAAGTTTATTTTATGACACCTGAAGAACAGATGGAGACTTCTAGAATTCCTCTCTGCTATAAGACAACATTTTGGACCCTCTATTACTAACATAACATAAGAATAATTGCACACAAAGGAATTTGTGTGAGAATTCTCAAGCTAAATACACGAAGAAGTGTATTAAAGAGAATTACTTTCTATTACACAAATTTATAAAGTTAACTTATTTACCTTCTTATTTACAACCACAGTTTCTAGATACACTACAAGGAACTGCCTTAGCATTGAAATAAACAGAGCAGGCCATACTTCAAACAGCAGAACAAGTCAGCCAAGTGACAGAAGAGCCTCTAATCTGTATGCTCTTACATTAATTACTATTAAAGACAAATCTTGTTCTCCTCCGACTCGGAAGGGAGGGGAAGGGACAAAGGGGAGCAAAATGTCTGAATTCTGGTCTAGTACCAATTTTGAGAGCTAAATATCAACTAATTATTAATATATATTATATATATATATATATATATATATATATATATACAATCAAAGCATTACCAGACACTGACTCAGGAAAGTAATTTTTTGATTAACAAATATTATAATTCCCTGGACCTCAGAACAGAGCCACAGAAAACAAGCTCTTGGCTTTCTATTTTCATATGCCCTTCAACAGCAGTGCAGAGCCTCTGAGATGGGATGGGCAGAAGAGCAGGAATCAGCTGCACCATAAACTGCTGGGAATCTTCTAGTGACTGACATTGTGAGAAAATACTGAAACAGTCTACAGAGTTCACTGAATAATGAGTTTAATCTGCTTGGTTTGTTTTTCAAAAAGGAGATCAAAGTCTGGAATAATTATAACTGACTGTGAGGGGAGAGGGGAAAAAAAGAACATTACAGAAATTTAGTATAATGAATAATTCCTCTACAAGCCTACATGGTGAAAAATGAATTGTTAGAAGTACTCTTGTTTACATAAAGTACTTCATTTAGCTAAAATATTCAACAATTCTAGAGGCTTTTTGAAAAGTGTTTTCAGTATTATTTAAATATTTTCACTGACACAAAGATACTAAGTGGTGGTATGCTCAACTTTAAATAAAACCTGCCACTGATTAACCCCCACTCAATGCTGTTTCCCATACATTGATGTGAAGACAAACAGACTGACATGTGCTGCACACAATATCATTCTTGCCTTTTCCAGATATTACCTCAATTTACGTGTAAACGTCACTTAAGAACACCAGCAGTATCTCAACAGACAAATATCAACATCAGCACGACACAATTTAACAGATCTGTTAATTACCATACCTTCAGAGCACATGAATAAGCCCTCTCTCCAACATTAATGGACTTTGGATCATCATCATCCAGGTTTTCCCAAATCCTAACGTCTCCATCACTGCCGCAAGTTACGATGCAGCTGTTCAAAGACACAGGATTTGAACCAAATGAAAACAAAGTGTAGGCTGTTTTTTATTTACTGCAACACAATACATATGAATCATAATTCACTGAACACTGTACTTAATAAACATGACAAAAAATACAGGTCTGGTAGCACAACACGGTGCTGCTGTCTCTGAGAACCCGCTAGGCCTGGCACTACTGAACTGAACTTCACTTATCAATCCATGCTCACCAGGATCTAGATGGGATTTTTCAGAGCACTGATTTCACTGCCAGCTGAGCATTTAATTGCTTCTTAAACCTCTGAAAATTTACCTTGCAGCTGAGGGCAAAACTAAGAGCGTTAACACACACTTGACTTAAGTTTAACAAGCTTAACACGTTTCAGACCTACAGAACCATAAAAATATTAACATGGTGTTCAACTGTCAAGTTTGCTGGAGATAGATATAGCTTTGACTTCTTACAGCATATGCAAACATATCTTCTTCCAAGATACATTTAGAGTCTATGAAATCACTTCTGTAAAAGAGAATATATAGAGGATCTTATACATGTGTGTGTGTAGGGGTCGGCCTCTTTTCCGAGATAACCAGTGATAGGATGAGAAGTAATGGCCTTGAGTTGCACCTGGGGGGAGTCAGGTTGGATATTAGGAAACATAATAGGAATAGGATAGGAAACTGATCCCAAAGAGAGGTGAGGTGCTGGCACAGGCTGCCCAGGAAGGTGGTGGAGTCAGCATCCCTAGAGGTGCTTAAAAAGCATGGAAATGCACTATTAAAGAACATAGTTTAGTAGGCAATACTGGGGGTGATGGATGATCCTAGAGGTCTTTTCCAACCTTAATGACTCTGTATGTCCTACACACCTACTGTTCTCAACAAAGACGAATAAAGGATGTGCCAGACCAAGCTAGGTCATAGGTCCACCTGTCCAGTATTGCAGCTGAAGAGATAATTCTCAGAAAGCAACAGACAGGAATGTGACCATCCATCCCCTAGGTGGTCACAGAATTGTTTGAGTTGGAAGGGACCCCTCAAGGCCACCTGGTCCCACTCCTTGCAACAAATAGGGACATCCACAGCTCCATCAGGTGCTTAGAGCCCCATCCAGCCTGACCTCGGGTGTCTGCAGGGCCATCCACCACCTCTCTGGGCAACCTGTGCCAGTGCTTCACAGCCTTTACTGTGAAAAACATCTTTCCTATGACCAATCTAACTCTCCCTCTTTTAGTTGGAAACCATTTCCCCTTGTCCTGTCACAACAGACCCCACTAAAGAATCCGTCCCCTTCTTTCTCACAGCCCTTTCAGATACCCAAAGCTGGCTTTCAGGTCTCCCCGAAGCCTTTCCTTCTCCATGCTGCACAGTCCCAGCTCTCAGCCTGTCCTCGCAGGGAGGTGTCCTATCCCTGGAATGATTTTTATGATGATATTTTCCCCTTCTCTCTAGGACTGGGGCAGTTACCTGCTGCTGTCATCAAAGCACACGTCTGTGTGTCCCTCCGTGTGTCCGTACCGCATTGGCTTTTGTGCTGACGGCATTTTTCTTCTTCCCTGTCTAATAAGGGTGGGAAATAACATCAATTTTTTTAAAGAAAGAATCACAGAATCACAGGAAGAAGCACAGACCTCTGTCAAGCACAGTTAGTACCTCTCCGCGGGATTTATCTGATATACAGGGCCCTTTTTGCTCTTTCTGTATGAGGAGAAATTTATCCCGAGTAGAAAAACAACAAAACAACCCCGTTTCCTCACAGCAAATAGAAAAGCAGCATCCCCTCACATGACAGTCACACCAAAAAAAAAAAAAAAAAAAAAAAAAAAAGAGAGAAAGAAAAGCTCGGCATTACCACATCCAGAGTGAAAAGACTTCAGGAAGAGCCCCAGATGGGGAATCCCACCCACGGAAGCTGGAAGCGCTGTTCCCCAATAGGGCCGTAACCCAGCATGACCCCAAAACGGGGAGGAAAACAGAGAGGCTCAGGCGGCCTCACCGCCGTAGCAGCGGCCCCAGAGCTGCGCAGCCCCTCGGGGTGCGGACCAGGAGCTCCCCCGCCCCAGGCCGGGCGCCGGGCCCAGGCCGCGCTCAGCTCAGCTCGGCTCAACTCAACTCACCTCACGGCCCGTCCCAGCCTCCACTTCGAGCCTTCCCGCGCTCCCGCCCGCGCCGGGGCCGGGCCCTGCTCCGTCAGCGCGCCGTCAGGACACGGGGCGGAGCTGCGAGCGGCGGGGGCCGGGCCCGGCCGGCAGACAGCGGGATGGCGGCGGCGGGCGAGGCCGGGACCGCTCGGAGGCGGCTGAGATCCGGCAGGTGACGGGGCCGGAGCGGGGCTGCCTCCTCACGACTGCCGGGCGGCAGCGGCAGGTGAGCGCCGAGGGGGACGCGAGGAGCGCGGCGGTGCGGAGCCGAGCCGGGCGGCCTGCCTGCATTCCTTCCTTCCTTCTTTCTCTTCCTCCTCTTCGCCTGCACGGTTTGCCTCAGTGAACGTGCTGTAGGAGCTCCTCGGGCTCGTGGGTCCCGAATGGTGGCACAGGGCTGCTGCCATCCGCGCGGGTCAGAGCTGTGCCGTGCCTCTGTCAGCACAGCTGGCGCTGGAAGCAGGTCGCGATACGATACGACATGAAGCGTGTCCGTAGGCTGCAAAATAGGAGCTGAGCTTCTTTATGTTTCTTAAAGGACGAGACGTGTGGGAGCTTGGCGTACCTGAAATAAACAGAAAATAATCTCCTTGGGGGGGGCAAACAAAAAGAAGGTTGTAGTTCTCTGCTTTTTCTTTATGTAATTTCAATGTTCTGGCCCAAATTCTTCCTTCTTCTAAGGAAAATGGCTTGCAGGCAGAGCCCTTTGATCCTCAGTTTCACCCTGCGATCGGTGCTGGGCGAGCACTGGATCTATTTGTGCTGGAAATGCGACCGGGCTCTTCATAACACTCTGTTGCTACTTTCATGAATGAGTGAGGCAGCGTTGCCAAGTAGGCATGCTTCGTTTTTGCCTTTACTTAATTTTTTTAATGAATATGCCCGGATTTCATTATTAAACCCCGTGGCAGCTGTGTGAAGACATGTTTTCCATGGGTGTACCCTGACATATCTCAGCAAAGCGTGATTTCTGGAGAGGATAATGTGTGCTAGCACCGTGATTCTAGCTGAACCACTTACCGGATGAGTGGGAAGGCCAAGCTATTCTTATAGCAAGCTCCTGGGGCTGAGAGAAGCGTGTGCCAGCTGTATTATTATGCCTCTAATTATTTATTTTAGTTTGCAGAATGTCTCGTGCAAACTGCACCTGAAACATTTTATGGTATAAAAGCTCAGCTTCATGCAGATGTCCCAATTCACAGTCCAGAGGTGCTGCCTGCTGGAAGAGCTCTGTGATTCCTGGGAAAGCTTTTGGGGTCTGTGGGTTTGAAGGTCACTTGGCCAAGGGAACAGGGCACCCTGGCTCTGTCCCATTGGAAGTAACGAGGCATCAAGGTTAGCCTTTAAATCCAGTTGGAAATTAAAGCAGCTGGCTTTATGAGGAGGTGTAGCTGGTTGGGAGGGCAGAAGTGGCAGGGTGGGAGCATGCTGCTCACCTGCAGGGTTTCTGGGTGGAGCACGAGTGAGGTGTTGGTCATGGGACATAAAGCTGTTCCTGATTTAGTGCTTGAGAGCTTGCTGAGCGCTCTGCCCAGCTCTCCTGCAACCCATGCACAGGGTGCCTTGAAAGCAGCAGGTCTGAGCCTTCCAAGCCTCATCCACATCTCAGGTATGAATAAAAGAGCCCTGCTTTGGGGTTGAGGGAGGTGTTGCTGCATGCCCTGTAGTTCTGGGAATATACAGACTCAGTGGGGATCGGGCGTACTTCCAGGCAATTGCTTCTGTCATTCTGGTTTACCAGCTGTATCTTTAGGCAGTAATTTCTGTTTTGTGCATGTGATAATTTCTTTAATTAGTTGAAAGCTGGAGTAGAGCTCCATTCTGGAGTTAGGTATTTTGGATGCTGTATCATAAATCAAAATAAACGCATTCAAAATGGAGAAAAATAAGTTAAGAGGAGTTGAAACTCACTCTTAATAGGCTGGGCCTTTTTCCAAAAAAAGTCAATAACAGCTCAACTTCAGTGGAAGGTCAGGTTTTAAAATGCGGTCTCGCAGCCAAAATTTAATTGGGTGAAAGTAATGAAAACAGCATGTGATCGCTGAGAGATTTTTGAAATGACTTCTATGTAAGTTGTAATAAATTGGAGCATTTTTCCTTTTCGCTCCTTTGTCAGGCTTTTGTCAGAAAGAAAGACTAGAAAAAAAAAAATAACAAGATTCATTTAATTTAGTGTATGAATCTTCCCTTTTAGAAACGATTAGAGGTATCATACAGTGACCCTTTGGCTTTTCTGTACGAGAACAGCAAACCTAAGTGCTTTCTGCATGAGGGTCACGCAGATGGGAGCAGGTTGCCCACAGAGGCAATGGGGCCTCTGTCCTTGTGGTGCCCAGGACAGACTCTCCAGCTCTGGAGGGCTGGAGGTTGGGCTGCAGGCAGCTTTTCAACCAGCACCCAGGGGATGTTATGACATTCTCTTTCTTCTTTGCACAGAGACTGAAGCAGCTTCACAGAAGGGACTCGGAGGCTTGAGGCAAGGGTCCAGGGTGTAAATATCTAGTTAAAGCAATTCACTATTTATTGGAAGGGGGGAGGATTTGCCTACGCTGAGAGTTTTGATTCTGCTGATGGAGTTACTGGGTGTTTTGCAGGTGATATAAGGAGGCTTATGGTGAGGCTGAATGTGCCTTCTCACAGATAAGCACTGAGATGGCATTTTGCAGCTGGCTGGGAGGCCTGAAGTTTAGTGTTAGGGCATCGGTGCTGGAAGGAAAGAGCACCTGGAACAGCTGCTGCCCCATCCACTCCAGAGCCTGCGGATGGAGCCGGAGAGGCTCTGCGTGTTCAGGGAGCTGTGCCCTGGTGAAAACAACAACAGAACCCACCCTGCTGCCTCTCCTCGGGGATTGCAAGCCACAGCAGTGTTGGATAACCTTGAACTGCAAGCTGGATCCCATGGCCTGATGTGAACTCTGTTTATCCCTGCGTGTTGCTTTTGTTCTGCCGCTCACTTAGAATTGCGAACATCAGGTTTTTTGTCAAATACATCTGCTTCTGAGATGCCTAAGGTATCCCCACTTCAAAGAAAGCTTTTGTAGGCGGAGGACTAATCGTATCTGTGCTGTTCATTCTCTACCAGTGCTTGTCTCTTCACTTTTTGCAGAAGGAGAGATCTCAGAACTGACGTATGTAAGCTATGCGGAGCACGACTTTCCCATTTAGCATTGCCTGTAGGGAAAAGTACACTCTGTGTTCCCTGGTTTTTATTCTCCCTTTCCTCTTCTGCTCTTTCAGTTGCATTCAGCCATTAAGGGATATAGGTACAACATTGTATTTCCTCACAAGTGTGCAGTGCAGGGGATGGTCGGTTTAGGTAGGTGGCCTTAAGGGTAATACAGCACTGAATGCACCAGTGTCCTTTATGTCTGCGTACCTAAAACATTTTTAGTTGCTATTTTACAGGCAGGGCTCTTAGTTGTGGATTGGGAAAAGTATGAAGGCACGACTCCTGGTTGGAACGTGAGACAGAGGAGTTTGGGCATTCCATGTGGTGCTGGGGTGTGTGCTGAGCTATCCTTCACTCTTCTTCCACAAGGTCAGATTCAGATTTGGCTTTAGTAGGATGATGTCCCATTTTCTTCACCCACTCTGCACTCTTTCCATGGATGTCTGATGAATGATTACTTCTGTGACGTGGCAGGATTGTGCCTTGCTCCCAGCAGCCGTCAGCCCCTGGGAGCAGCTTTCTGTGCTGCTGGCTAATGGTGCATGTCTTACAACATCATGTGCTATCGCTTCACTTTGAGTTGCAGGGTTCAGATACCACTGGGACGTGATGGAGGAAAGGTAGGAAGTAGAACGTGGCTTTGCAGTTAAATACAAGAACAGCTCAACAAGGCAGAGATGACAGAAAATGCCAAAGTAATTTCAGCTGTGCTAATTTAATGCTGTGCTGTCATGCTGGGGGATATCAGACCTTTTCGGCACTTTTGGGTTTTGTACGTTTCAAAGTTTTTAATTAAAATCCCATTTCTGCATCTTCTTACTCCTTATATGGTCTGGGTGTGCAGGATGAGGAAATTAAAGGTTTCAAAGTCAATTACAAACTGTCATATCCTAATTTTTAAGTACCTGACTTTGTACCATAAATGGAGGGAGGATTGAGGTTGGATGTCAGGGGAAGTTCTGTGCTGTGAGAGTGGTGAGGTGCTGGAACAGCTGCCCAGAGAGGCTGTGATGCCCCGTCCATCCCTGGAGGTGTTGAAGGCCAGGTTGGATGGGGCCCTGGGCAGCCTGGGCTGCTGTGAAATGGGGAGGTTGGTGGCCCTGTGTGTGGTGGGGGGGAGCTTCGTGATCCTTGAGGTCCCTTTCAACCCGGGCCGTTCTGTGATTCTATGAAATGAGATTTCCCTTTCCAATTAAAAATGCCATATATATAGTTAGTAGATTCCTACAGACTGAATCTAGAATAGGTTTGTGGGGTTTTTTTCAGTCATTACGTAGAAAACTCAGTGCTCCACTCTGGATGAAAAGTAGAGATAGTGCAGAAGCAGTCACCAAGTTTTGGTCTAAATAAAGGCAGTTTAAGTTTCACTTAAATGCAGTCTTTCTTCTGTCAGTATTACATCTGCAGTGTTTTCACTGAAAAGTGGTGTGTAAAACCTTGAGAGAAGAAAACAGTCTTTAATATTTGATGATTTGTAATTGCTGAAATGTGGACACATTCTCTGCTTCCACAACCACTGAGGGATTGTTCATCCAGCTGCCTCTAACACCAGGGTTGTTTTTTTTTCCCACATATTTGCAATGTTTTCTCTCTTACCCTCATTCCACATTCCTTCATCTCCTCACATTGCTCCACCTTTCCCTTCCCTTTTCCTCTGCACCCCCCCCCAGGTTTGTGGATTGTAAGCAATGAACACAATGTCAAAAATTCTCAGCGCAAGTTCCATCTGGGTTGCATTTGGTCTGCAGATTGCATGTAAGCCTCTGGCACAGCAGGCTTTCTCTTTACTGAAAGCAGAGGCAAGACCTCAGCCTGCTCAGCCCCTGGGGGACTGCAGGGAGATTGTGTCATGCTGGCTAATCCTAATGATGAGGACGAATTGAATGGAGAGAGGAAGTGGATGCCCTTTTCTTTTCCTGCTTAATATTTGCCAGGTCAATTAGTTTTAAAAACCAACGGTGGACAGCAGGCTCGGAATCTCGTGTTGGTGCAAAGGCATGGTGGTGTGTGATGGAAAGCAGTTCTGCATCCTGCCATGCCTCAGCAGGGTGTATCATACACAGCATATTGCTATGTTCCTTAAAAAAAAATATATCTCTGCTCTACTTTCAACTGAGCAATCAAAAGAGGAATTCTTGTTCTTCAAAGCGCAACATTCAAAAGGAGATCTCTTATCTAGTTGAGCATTCACTGCATTTTTGAAAACAAAAGCGAATGAAATCAGCAACTGTGGGTCTCAAAGCAGCAGTGATTTTAATAATGTAAACTTTCTTCTCTAATGAGTAATAAGCGGTTCCATCTTTCATGGCCTTTTAAAATTGCTTTTAGTAAGGGACTGGATTTGTTTTAATCCTTTTCAGTATGTAAAGCCCCAGATATTTCAGTCCCTTGGGGGCTCAGTATTTTCTAGCTCCGGTTTAAAAGGCAAAGGAAAACAGCTTTCAGAAATTGACAGAATCTGTGACTGATATAATTTATTTTTTTTTATCCAGAAAGTGACCCAAAAGTGTCAGTTAAGAAAAAGATCTCTGGCATCCCACTCTGTGGATTAGCAGCAAACAGGCGTATCATCTAGGTACAGTAGCTCTTTGTACTCTGACCTACTTGTTTCTGCTCTGCCTTGTTTCTTCTTGAAAGGTTATTTGGAAGAGATGCAGAATTTGCTCGAAAAACAACTAAAGCAGCGTCACCTGCCATGTGAAGTGCTTCATCTTCAAATGTTCCCTTGCAAAAGAGGATTGCCAGCACCTCCAACCTTCTGCTCTGCTGCATAGTCAGAATAGGGGCTTTAAAGATACATCAAATCGTTTATTCTGGAGGATGCTTTTTACAAGGAAGGCTTAAGATCCTTGGCTGGGATCGGACCAGGATTTGTGGAGGGCTCTCAAGAATTCAGCTTGATCATTATTTATAGGTGGCTAACGATTAATTGTCGCTGTTGTCATGCATACACAGGCATTCATCTTGTGTTGTGTGCATGCAAAGCTGTTAACTTAGCTGTCTTCTCTTTGTCCTTAGATACTTTCAGAAAGCACCACAAAGAAGCTTCCTTGGGTAGAAAACCCTGCAAGAAAAAACTGCGCTTTCTGGAAACTTGGGGAGCAGAGCTGTCGAAATGGCAGAGAATAAGGACAGTAATCTTAAAAACACAGATGTGAGACCCAAGAGCAGCCGGAGCAGGAGTGCAGACAGAAAGGATGGTTATGTCTGGAGTGGAAAGAAACTCTCCTGGTCGAAAAAGACTGAGCGCTGTTCTGATACTGAGACGGCGAACGCTGCAGGAAGGTCAGGGCCTAATTTAAGGAGCCAGGAGAGAAAGTATAGCTGCTCTTCTATCGAGCTGGATCTAGATCGTTCGTGTGGACACAGGTTTTTAGGCCGGTCTCTCAAACAAAAACTGCAAGATGCTGTGGGTCAGTGCTTTCCCATCAAAAATTGTACCAGTCGGCACGCCTCAGGACTTCAATCGAAAAGAAAAATTCATATCAGTGAGTTGATGCTAGATAAGTGTCCTTTTCCTCCACGCTCGGAGCTCGCTTTTCGGTGGCACCTGATTAAAAGGCATACAGCCCCTATAAGCCAAAAAGCAGAAGACTGGACAATTGCTGACTTATCCCAGAATGAGGAAAAGGAGGAGGACCTACGAGACAATGAGATAGAGTCCGATCCTCCATCGGCTCCCTCCCCATCCTCTGACCTTACTGATGGCATTCCCTCCAGGCGGGACTCACGGTCTGAGCTGGTGGTAGGGAAGGTGGTAAGGAGCAGTAAAGAAGACAGCGACATGGACTCCGACGATGAAGTTGTAACGCTGTGCACAAGCTCTAGGAAAAGAAACAAGCCCAAATGGGAAGCTGACGATGAGCTGCTGCGGATGGAAACGCCTCCGAAATACCATACGCAGATCGATTATGTGCACTGCCTAGTCCCAGACCTCCTGCAGATCAACAACAACCCCTGCTACTGGGGAGTCATGGATAAGTATGCAGCCGAAGCACTGCTGGAAGGAAAGCCAGAGGGAACGTTTTTGTTACGAGATTCTGCCCAGGAAGACTACTTGTTTTCCGTGAGCTTCAGGCGCTACAGCCGCTCTCTGCACGCGCGGATAGAGCAGTGGAATCATAACTTCAGCTTTGATGCTCACGATCCTTGTGTCTTCCACTCTCCTGACATCACGGGACTCCTAGAGCACTATAAGGATCCAAGCTCCTGTATGTTCTTCGAACCGCTTTTGTCCACTCCGTTGAACAGGACTTTCCCTTTCTCCCTTCAGCATATATGTAGAACAGTTATTTGCAACTGTACGACCTACGATGGTATTGATGCACTGCCCATTCCTCCATCAGTGAAGCTGTATCTGAAGGAATACCATTATAAATCGAAAGTTAGAGTACTCAGGATCGATGTACCAGAGCAGCAAAGCTAGAAAATATTTTTGTGACAGAATGAAATGGTCTCTAAACAGGTGAATTGTGTGGTCAGTCCTTCCTCCCTTTAAGTTTCTTTTCAATGGCAGTTTGACGTTTTTCTTCCTCTTTCTGCAGATCATTCAACCCAAACAGGCCTCTGCTTAAGGCTTTTTTATCCAACTGTACTTTGAGTCTTCCCAGCTCTCTTTTAGAAATGATATTCCTTGTGGGCTTTTGGTACTGTTCCTAAACTAGTTTTATGGAATTTCAGGTAGGCTTTCTGGTATTTCTATAGATGGATAGTCTTTAGATCGAAAAACCTTAGAAATTGGTTTTGAACTTGATCCATCTTTTATATTGTATTTCCATCTGTTGCTGACATGTTTGAAATAATGCACTGTTAACTGAAGACTGACTCATCTGTATTTTCTGCATTTCTTTTAAAACGAGTCTCTAGTCTTGTGTCTGTGTGTATGTCTGTCTTTAATACAGTAATTTCATCAATCTATTTCTAACATTACTATTCCTAGCAAAATGAAGTTTGAAAGAGGATATGATCTTTCTATAAATACATCAGGGGACTGAACACCAGGGAGGGGGAAAAACAATTCATGCTGAGGCCAGTGCTGAGTACAGGAACAAACTCCTTTCTATAGGAGCTGCTGCTTCTGAAACGATAAAGCACAGCGTGGGAGGGGGAGGAAGAAGACACCTCCTTAAGGACCCTGCAGTTTGTGGGTATTAAACTAGCTGATCTTGTGTCCTGAGGTAGTGATGGACAGTCAGATCTGCTGCTGTCACTGGTTTTATGTGTGGAAAAGATCCAAAATGGGCAGTTGCTCGTAAAATACATACGCAGGATAAAAGTGGGAGCACGCAGCACAGCCCAGTCCTGCTCCTGGGTTGCAGACTAAGGGCTACAGGAGCACAAGCAATATTTCTCACTGAATATTTCCATTTCACCTGGTGCTGCACACTGTGAATTTGCAGAGCCGTCCTGGAAGCTGCCTGTTGAGTTAGCAGGGAAGCTCTGCAATACAGCTCCACTGGGGACCTGCTTTCCTGCCCACACTGCCCCTGCACAAGAACACCCTTTCCCCTGAACTGGTGCCACTGTGATGTAAATAGATTTCCAGGGACATCTGCTTAGAGACCAGCCAGTTTGTTTTCACTGTGTTTTAAACAGGTTTCGAACCAAAGTCTCCAGGGAGAAAATGCAAACACATCAATCCATCGCATCGCACATGGATGAATGAGCTGCAGGACAAACTCTCAGCTGCTATAAATCAGCATGGCTTTATTGATGCACTTAGAACAGTTTATACCAGCTGAGAGTCTCCCTCCTCCACATGCAAATGATAATTGTATGACTGATGTCAGAAAAATTACTGCTTTTTTTTTTTTGGGGCAATGTTTTCCTTGTGCTGCTTCCATTCAACTGATACTAATTTTTGCATAAGCTGTGTTTATTCAAGAACAGCTTCCTATTAGTAAATCTATTTCTTCTTGATCTATCCCTGCCATTTTCCTTACACAAAATGAAAGAATAGCAGGGGACAAATCTGCTGTTTTTGCCTGTCAATACAAAGCACTGCTGCAATCAAAAATAGTAGTAACTGGCTTGAAATCTGACTTGATTTTAGTGATTTCAGAGCTACTAGCAGTCTTTCAGAAACAGTTCAGCTCAGTTTCAGATGGCAGTTCCCATTATTATGTTTCCTACAGGTCCACAAAACGTAGATTTCAGCCAAGAGTCTCATCCGCTTTGGAACGTATCAAAGGCCACCAGCTCTTTCAAAGCCATCTGAGAAATGTCCCTTCAGGATGAAAGGTCATGAAAGAACCTTTTAGGGCTCGGGTCTGCAACTTGCTGTCAATTCAGTGTCGTTCCTTCTGCAGCCTACACTGCTTTGGCAGCCACAGGGTGTTGATGCATTGCTTACCCCAAAAACGTCTACAGCTCTCCGTTTTTAGGAGCCCTATATAGTATAGCAGATGAGGGATGAAGGTGCTGCATGTAAAAATAGTGCCTTTTGAGGCTGGATGTGAGTCTGGGCAGCCTGGTGTCGTGGTTGGCAACCCTGCATATAGGTTGAAACTAGATGAGCACTGTGGTCCTTTTCAACCCAGGCCGTTCTATGATCTGAAATCACACAAAAAGTCCTAATGAACAGGCTGTGGAAGCTCACCCTGTGCTTTTTTCCTGTTACAATTGTCCGGATCATACTGTGAGTGTGACCTGGGTACAGTCTGAATTTTGTGTGTGCATGCAGTCTGAGAGATGTATTTCATGAAGTACGCAGTTTTTCATGAGATGTGAGAAATCAAAAACTCTATTTTGCTAAAACCTATGTCCCCTCTCTCCTTGTTTTTCTTTTTAATGAGCTTTGTAGAAATTAACTGATTTTACAATGTGCAAAGCATGGTCATCCAGAAGTTTCTTCCTGCTGTTCTTATTAACTGGATTTAACCTGGAGAAGAGAAGCCCCAGGGAGACCTCATGGTGGCCTTCCAGTGCTTGAAAAGTGTATAAACAGGAGGGGAATGGCTGTTTGTGAGGGTGGATGGTGATAGGACAAGGGGGAATGGTTTTAAACTGAGACAGGGGAGGTTTGGGTTGGATATGAGGAGGAAGTTTTTCAGCCAGAGGGTGGTGAGGCACTGGCACAGGTTGCCCAAGGAGGCTGTGGATGCCCCATCCCTGCAGGCATTCCAGGCCAGGCTGGATGTGGCTCTGGGCAGCCTGGGCTGCTGGTTGGCGACCTGCACACAGCAGGGGGTTGGAGCTGGATGAGCACTGTGCTCCTGTGCAACCCAGGCCATTCTATCATTCTGTGATTAACAGACTCACTGGTGTTTGAATAATCCTTTGTAACACCTCGCATCATCCATCTGAAGGATGTTCCAAAGATAACCAAGTCTTGGAGATCAGCAGTGAAGCCCTTCAGATCTCTCAGAAAGCCTCAGAAACAGGGTAAGGACTTCTGTTTTGTCATCCCAGGTTCTTGTCAGGTAAAGATTGAACATGGAACAAAGAAAGGTGTGGAGAAATACAAGTGCTTGAGGTGCCAGCAGGCACGCAGCTGATGGAGTCGTCCCTCAGTAGCAGCCCTGGCTTCAGGCCCCTGCTTGGAGAGGAGACACCCAGCCAACTCTATGCAGGAATTCTGTCCATCAAGTGGTTTCTGTTGCTTTGAAGGCTCACCTACGTTATTTTGTGGTTCTGTGGGAGGGCGATGCCTTACATCAGTGTAACCGACTGTGATAAGGAAGAGGGATCTGATTTTGATCAATGATTCTGATAAAGGGACTCAGGTTCTTGATGCAGGCTGAGCAAACAACGTCTACAAGCTGTTTTTACAGGGTGCTTTGAAAACATGAACCACTGTGTTGGTTCTGTTCCCAGGATGGGTTTGGGGTAGTTTGTCTGTCCAGTGATTTGGAGTATACGTTTCTTCTCCATTTCCTATTCTCGACAGCTGTCACACTTAAATCTGAGGCACATGTGGGAAGGATGTGTCTATCTTTAGTAGACATTTAAAAAACTGAGCCTAGCGACCGTAATTGAAATGCTCTTCTTTTAAAGATGCTGGTTTGTTTCCAACGTGAAAAAGAAATCCTTGTGTGATGCAGACACACGTGGCCTTACTGTAAAACCGACGCCTTCTTCAATAATTAAAAAGGGGGATGCTTTAATTTTGAAAAAGGATGCTGTAGGAAGGAGGCTAAAGGAAGCTTTTAGTCAGCTCGAAGGCTAGATTTATTGATCCAGTGATCAATCCCTTTCTCTTTCCTGGATTTAAAGCTAATGGGAGACTGTGGTCAGAGATGAGTGGCTTTTAGTTAAGGTTTTTGACTCTTATAAATAATACAACAAATGTCCTAGTAAGTAATAAGACGTAAGATACTCGCTCATTCTTTTTAAATAGAACAAATGTGGCAAACAAGGCTCAGCTGTAATTTTTGAAGTCATTTGTTAGACAAATTGCTCTTCTCTACTTCTTTTACAAGAGAGACATAAACCATTATATTATTTATTCATGAATCATAGCCATTAAGATGATAAATCAAATTATCAGCTTCCTGTCTCTCTTCAGTTTTAATCATTTTTTATAGTTCATGTAATATAAAGACAGCTTCCTTCCTATGAAACAAGAGACCTTCAGAGACCTTTTTATTGGGAACGCACATTTCCTTCCCATTTTTAAGTATATCCCAGTGATTTTCTCTGTCAATTTTATCTGCAATAAAAATCCAATAAGGAACTTGTACATTGATTCAATATAGCCAAGCCAGCTATGAAGTCGGTCATTTTTCTTCACCTCTGAAATAAGGCAGGGCTCCAGAATGCAATTCAGGGTTTCTCTCTGCCCCCCTGACGTGCACCTGGAAGCATCATAAGGTTTGGTAGGGAGCTCACCTGCTGACTGCAGGAGCCTTCTGAGCTGCACTGTGTGAGCCCTTGGTGCTGCATCCACACAGCCACCACGTTTCTCTTTCCCTGAGGTGGGAGAGCTGCTGTTGCCTGACAAACCAAGACCATGGCAGGCGTCCTTTCCATCTCATTCTGGCTGCTTCTGCATCCTAGAGGTGCATTGGCAGCTGTGTGACGTGGGGTGGGTGGAGGAGCCCGTTCAGAACGGAAAGCCCATCGATTGCCATTCAGACTGTGGCTGCTTGCAGATTTGGTCAGCTTGATGACCCACGTGAAATCCTGCTCTCAGGAAGCACGGATGAGGTCAGGGTTACGAGGTTACAGAGAACACCACCCTCAGAAACATGCGGCTGTGCTGCAGCGCAAAAATCAATGCCTGTTTACTCAACTCGATGAATAATAGAGTTTGAGATGTAAATATATAATTGATGCATATAAAATCTATAGGGTGAGGCTGAAGTGAGTCACAACGACTTCCCTGTTCTCCACATCCATCTTAACAACCCCCCGGCTACCTGTGATGCGCCAGCAGCCCCAAAGGCTTCCTTGGCCCCAGCTCCCTTCAGGCTGGCTGCCATGAATCCTGCAGGGAACGTGAATTCCCTGGGAACTCCGAAGCAAGGCTTTCTCTCCTTTTCTGCAAGGAGCACAGCCTGTAAGACCCAAAGCATTTGTCTCCCTATTAGGTCCGTGGCCGTTGGAATGATGCAGCAGGAAAAGCCCTGGGCTCGTGTTACGCACCGTCATTCATGTCCCGGCACAACGCCATCGCTGGGCTGTAGCAGCTTCAGCAAGGTTTAATCCAGCACAGAGGTAGGACGCCCAGCTGGGAGCTGTTCCATATTACTTTCCTTCTTTTCTCTTTAATTCTTTCCATGGGAAAAGAAATCCTAGTCGTTTCCCCGTTCTCATTAAACCAGCCTCTAGCTAAGAGCATCCCTGAGTTTGCTTCAGCTGAACAGGTTCACTGCCAAACCTTTTTTTCTAAGTGCATCGATTGGACTAGACTACCATCCATTGCTTGTACAAAAGTGAGTTGTTTTGTTGGGTTTTTTTTTAATGAGGAGGCTGGGTTTGGTCCTTTTTAGCAGTGATGCAATGGTGTTTCTAGGTCAGGTCTTTCTGTGCAGTCACATGAAGTTCCAATTTGGACAAAACGCCCAGTGAGGGTCTTAATGTTTGATGCTGTTACGATTCGAA